TAATTAATTGGAGATCATTCTACTGGCGCCTATTAATTAATGATAAATTTTTTTTTAAGTAAGCCAAATAATAAATAAACGGTGAGCCTGGCTTGGTAAATCCCCGGGTCAGGCGAAATCCCGTTATAAAATATACACCGAGTTTACACTAAGTTTACACGGTGTATATGGATCCGCTAGGGATATCTTTAAATTAATAGACAATATGTCACAACTCTGTGTGCTGGAAGCACCTATAACCTTTATAAACATTTGTAATATTAATAAAGTTACAAATTGGTGTTATCAGATAATTATATTGTTATTTCAAATAAAAAGTTATCCAAAAACTTGATTATGGGTAATGAGCAGTTATTTAACGTTGGCGATTTGTTCGCTAGTAACAATGAATTTGAAACGAAGTTAAGTCTGTACGAAAAGATAGAAAAATATTCGTTTACTTGTACAACTGGAAAATTGTTGAAAAGCCTGAATAATTTACCTCAGGAATACAATTCTGCTTTAGTATACGATGAGCGTTACTTTAGGTGTAGCGTTAATCCGAAACCGGTGACTGCTCGAAATTTCAAGAAAAAATACCCACAGTTTGTTTTTTTTTTCGCTTATTAAAATCATTTAATTCGTTAAAATTGTTTTTAAAGCTTCATTTAATCTTTTTTATTTTCAGCATAACTATAATAGAATGTCCTGCTATTTTGAACATCAGAACGACAAAAGATAAAAAGTTTTTAAGAATAACAAAATTTATGCCAGATCATGACCATGAACCTGATGCGGTAAGTAAAAATATTCAATGTTGGTGATGAAGTTAAATATTACTTACTTATGTTATAACATCAAGAATTTCGCTTTTTTTTCATCTTTGTGCGACTAACGACAAAAAAATTTTAACTTCTTTATTAATATTATTTGATATTTTAAATTTAATTATTTGCACTTATTTTTACAGCCTCCGCGGCTTCAAATGTACTTAGAGATGGTTAAAAAAAGTGTTTCTCCGGGAGGTGTAAGTTTCGTAATCATTTATCAATTATTTTTTAATATATGATACTATTATAGTAGTAGATATATTATTATAGTTATCAATCATATAATATATTTTGATACTTAGAATATTTCTTTAGGTTCGTAAAAAGGACACACAAACTTTTCCAACCCAACCTGCTACATTGGCGAAGAATGCTCTTGAAATTTTCAACGAGCAAGATCAAGATCTATCAGATGTAAGTTCACCATTAGTTTCATAATCATTCATTTACTAATTAAAAGCAATTAAAACTAAAAAGATATATGGGACAAAAAATTTTTCTTTAGTATGTTTCTTTTAAAAGAACAATTTTTCATGCATAAAAATGACATTGACAAAGTTCAGTCAAATGTCATTGACGTCAATATATTTTGGAAATTATCCAAATAACACAATTTATTTGCGATGGGAATTTTAGTATTTTATTTTGTTTTTTTTTTTATAAAAAATTTAAAATATGTTTTTTTTTTTTTAAAAACAATATATTTTTTGTTATTTATACCGTTTTAGATCTAATTGTTTAATATGAAACCATTTTAATTATCGTTCTATTTCAAATAATTTCAGAACATTCATGTCTTGCCGTTGCAAGAAACTGCCAGTTCACTTGAAGTTTACAATGATTTCGTCAATCCAGCAATTATATCAGAAGATAATTTTAATGAATTATTAAAGAAACTCCAAGTCAACATAGAGGCTTCAACCAATGAAGAGGAGAAAAATAATAAATTACGTCAAGTTAATAAAATGTTAGTATTTTTTAATAAGGATTTAATTCAATGCCACTTCCAATCAAGAGATGAAGGGATTTCATCAAAATTAAATGATGGTTCATTAAAAATTCATTCGGGTCGTTCGCGCCGACGACGTGATAAAGGACGTCAACTTCGTCCAATCGGTTTACCTCTCCGAAAAATGTCTTCCAATAGTAAAACGTTTGAAAACAGGAAGACGCCAGCCCAAAGTGTTATGTTTTTATCTATGATTATCAGCGAAAGATCTTTGATCAACGATATTGTACTTGGCCGAAAAAAAATATCAGAAAATGACTTAAAACATCTGGAATCAACAAACATTAGTGATGCTTTAGCGAGTACATTAATAACCAATGATTTGATTGAAAAGTTTTTCGAACCCAATGCGTTCGTTGTGTACCAAAAAATAATTGAAAATAAACTTGTGAGCAATAATTGGACGTGCAAAGAATGTCAACGAAAATTAGAAAATAATAATAGCATCGAATGTGACCTATGTTTATACTGGTACCACTGGAATTGTGTGGGCGTTACTGAAGAAATCGTAACTGAGTGGTTATGTCCGAAATGTTTAAATTAAAACTATTCTCAACATTCTTTTAAACTGATAATTATTATTACAGACTATTGATACATGAAGAATTTTATTACTAATTGTAAGAGTAACTTATTTTAGTGATGACTTACTTCTATTCATAGCTCTATATTTTGGATCTTTTCCTATAACTTCATATTAGTTATTGATAAATAATTTCCAAGGTATTTATTTTTATGTAACAATTATTTTCATATAGACGTCTATCAACATGGTAATTAAAAAAAAATCTACATATAACATATATAATTAGTTAATACAGATAAAGTAGAGCTATTATTATAATTTAGCATACACACGTAAAAATTAAATATAAAGTTAACACAATTTTATTCCAAATTTTCTTTATTAAATAATTGATGTGTGATTATCATTATATGTTGTTATTAATATAAATATTAATATTATTTAATAGTCATCATTTTAAAGGGATTTAGTAATCTATTGAAAGCAATAATAGCAGATAAAAATAAATTTAATATTATTTTTATGACAAATGAAAAATGAAAACTATACTCATAAAGGTTTGTTTTAAATTTTAATTGATATTAGATTAGATTAGATTTTAGATTTTGTTTATTAATGCCAAGGCACAGGCCAAATGGCCATTTCTATTACATATAGTATAACAATTTTTACAAGAAAACAATTTCTGTTTCTGTGAGTACATAATATAGTATTGCACAAGAATTATTTTAAATAATTCGTATATAAACATAATAAAAACAAATTAAACTTAGAATTTAATATAGAAAATAATAATTTAAAAATATAATATTTTGATGTCATCAAATCAGATGATAACTCGACATAATAAATCTGCAATTGCACTGATTTTATCCATATTTTAATTTTCAATCTTTAAAGTAATTAAGCTCAAATTTGTGATTTATTTGTGACATCGTTTTAATTATCAAGATTTAATAAGTAATTGAAAACTTCTTTTTTAAAGACTTGCAAGCTACTCGAATTTACGATTCCGCGTGGAAGTTCTTCCCAAAACCTTATTACAGTTACTAAAAAAGATTTCTCCAAGTAGCTTGTGGTGAAAAGAGGTATTAGGATATTGTCCTAAATATGCGAATAAAATATTGCAGTGATCATGCTTTCTACTTAGCTTTATGTATTATTATTCTAACTTTTTGTTTATTATCCATGTTGAACTTTGTTGATATAAGTTGAATATAAGTTAAATACTTATTATTCTTTAGGATCTGTGTCAGAAATAATTAATTTATTTTCTTTCAATTAATGCGACTATATATACCAGCTAATTATTAGTCATAAGACTCCAATATTTAAAACGTACGTTGTCAACTTTTTAAATTTTAAGGCCTATTTATAATGCGTGTAAAAATCGGTAATATAGAAAACTATCAACGCACTTCTCTCTTTTATAACTCGAAAATTTCTGATACACAAAACACAAACTCAACACACCAACTCACTTAAGTGGTAGAGTTTTATTATTGAAAAAATATTTTTTCATTAGTGTAATTTTATTATAAATTGATCTAACACCAAATAATATAATTGCATCTGTATAATTGTTGACATTTAAATTTCGCTCAAAAAATAATAATGTCGAACGATACTAAGCAAAGTTTGATTCATACAAAAGAAGAAGGAGGTTATTTCCCATTCAGAGCCGCACTCGATTCTATATACGTGGACAATTGATCAGATATCATTATTCCTTGAATCTGCCAAAAGTAGCAAAAAAGTGATTTATTTAGATTCTCCGAAATTTTCAACTGGTGCGAAAATAAAAGATTCATGGTTCTTAAAACTTGAAATTGAAAAAGATGATAAATCAGAATGTAAATCATGGGTCTCATTATATTTAGAGTCATGTAATCCAAATCGAGAAATTCGATCAAAGTATTTATTATTTATGTTGAATGAGAAGAAAGAAAAAATCGTCAGTAAATTTAGAGTTTATAATCAATCAATGGACTATTGTTATGTGAAATATCTCTTTATTGGTTCAACGGCTGGGTATGGTTATCCCAAGTTTGCAAAAATAGATGAGTTGTTAGAAAAAAAAAAGATGAATTTTTACAAAATGATACTTTGACATTTGGTATCGATCTGACTGTATATGATGATTATATACCAGTTAATAGTCCAAATAATTTATTAGAAGGTTGTGAGCGAAAATTGAGCGATGACTTTAAATATCTTTTTGAAACTAAAAAGAATTGTGATATCACTATTAAAGTCGGTGATAAAGAATTTAAAGCTCATAAGTTTATTTTGACTGCTCGTAGCTGCGTGTTTGAAGCTATGTTTTCTTATGATATGAAAGAGAACAAAGAAAACGAAGTAACTATCCCAGATATAGATCCTGATGTTTTTAAAAAGGTTCTCGATTACATTTATACAGACAAAGTCGAGGATTTAATCAGTTTTGCAGAAAGTCTTTTGGAAGCGGCTGACAAGTATCAACTTTTTGGGCTCAAAAACTTGTGCGAGTATTCTCTATCAAAAACTTTATCTCCTGGGAATGCTATGAGAATTTTAATTTTGGCAGACTGTCATTATGCAAAACGATTGGTAGCAGTCGCAATTGATTTTATTGCTAAAAATTGGATCAAGTTCAAAAACACTAAGGAGTTCAAACAATTGGAAAAGTTCCATACATCTCTTGCTTATGCTGTAGTGAAGAAATATGCTGATGGAGTCGACAAAAAGTTATGGTATGTTGTGTCTCATTTATTATACAATAAATAGAAAGTTGTATTTATTTTTTTTCTATTTATTCAGGCCTGTATTCTGTAGAAGTTTTTCTAGATCATGGATAAAAATTACCTGCAGTGTGATTTTTTACACTTTATACACTTTATTTACACTTTTTACACTTTATTTGAAACTTTATTTGACTATTATAGTACGCATAAAAACAACGTTTTATTCACAATTTACATGTAATTAGAACTTAATATTTTCCTGTGTTTTTTTATTTTTTTTTTTTAATAATACTTATAATATACTAATAATATGTAACTTAGCACATTTTTTAAATAATTATTAAACGTAGAGTAAAATTTTTCAACTTAATATTCTAAATTTGTAATTGTATTAATTAAAAAAAATTAAATATTCTTCTTCAACTTTTATCGAAGAGCTCAAATTTTCGTAATTGAAAATTTTTTGAGCATTTTGAGCTTGAATAAAACCAGGATTGGCCTGCAGGGTCAACTCTGGACTTAAAACTACTAAGTTACTTTTACAACTGTGTACTTTCTTTATGTATTTGCAGTAAATTACTAAACCGTTATGAACCGGGCACCTGAAAATCAATTTTTATTAATTTTTTTGTTAATTACTCGTTTGTTCTTAAATTTTTATTGGTTCGGTAATTTTTTATTTATCAAACTTAAGCAAATTTATGTTTGCAAGTTGGCGTATTATAACTCAAGTTTGAATTGGTTTTTTTTTATTCAACAGCTTAATTTTTTTAATTATTTATTCGATCAATAAAAATTATTTGTTCGATTGTATATTACTAAAACAACAAACAGAAAATCAAGATTTTAAAAAAGCAAATTTTTTTAAAACTAATTTTTTTTCTAATAAGGAATAATTTCGATTGATAGTTTAGATAGTTCTGGAAGTTATAAAATTACATCGTTTATAATTTTTGCCAGGACTATAAAAGTCACTGTTGAAATAGATTCTCCAAAGTTTTCAACAGGTGTGAAAATTAAAGATTCATGGTAAGGTAACAGCCCTAATAGATGATCATATACTGGTACTTGATCATCTATTGAGGCTTTTATCTTACTTATAATTATGTTTATTTAAAATTAAAAAATATTATGATGAATCAAAAAATAAATTATGGGTTGTCAATTTATTGATGTTCAAATGTCAAAAGTAAAAAAATCCAAACAAAGTACTTGTTTTGCACGCCTCATAAGCGAAGCGTTGAGGTTGTGCTCTACTCTCGACATTTCGAAAAAAGCTGTTTTCTCGAAACTGAAATTGATTTTTTGTTATTTATATCGCACTTACAGGTTAAAATGAGTACACTTATGTCAAGTCAAATAATTTTTCAAGTACATAAAATATATTTCAATAACAATTTTTTTGTTTAACATAATAAATAATAACATTAAACATAATCTTTTTTGGATGTCCGTGGATGAATGGGTGTATGTGGCAGAGAAATTGGTCGAAAAAATGATCGTACCGGAATAATTTTTTTTGAATTATCTAAAGTAACACACGACAGAATTTTTTAGTTAATATGAGCGTTCAATTCACTGTCATTAAGTTATTATTTATAAAAAACTAATATATGACTGTGGATATTTTTGTATTTCTATCTAGACATTTTATTTTAGTATTTTTTTTCCTCACCTTGCAGTTATGGCGCCACTAAACCATAGAAGTGTTTTCTGTTTCTTATTATTTTGCTTTTTATATTTTATTTTAATCAATTTTATTTTAAAAAATGAGATTATGAGGCGTGCACTTTTGGATTTTTCAAACTTTTTTTTTTTTTAATAATGTACGGGAAAAAAATTGTTAGTACCAAAAAAGATTATGATAAATTATCAGATAAATGTAGTTATGACAAACTCCATTTTATAAAAATCAAAGAATTATTAAACAAAAAAATGAATTTTTTCAAAACAATATATATTAACAGCGAGTGTCAATCTAACTGTCTACGATAATTATGTAGCGATTAATCATCCAATAAATTTATTGGAAACGTCCAAGCTAAAATTGAGTGACGACTTAAAAGACATTTTTCTAGCACAGGAAGAAATCTGTGAAGAATCTTTATCAAATATTTATCTGTTACAAATTCTATTAGGATACTGGTTCTAGCAGATCGTCAAAATTCAAAAAGATTGACAGAATTTGCTAAAAATTCCATAGTTACCAAGTTGGTGAGTTCAAAAAACACTGAGGAGTATAAAACACTGGAAGACTCTTTTTCAGCTTTATTTTTAGCTCTACCGAAGGAATACGTGGATAGAATTAGAACTGATTGACAGTGTATTGCTATAATTATTTTAAAAGTGAAAATAAAATAAGCGTGTTTAATTAATTAATCCTTTTTTCCTTGTTTCAGTATTGCTATTTAAGGTTCATGTTCTTTTTCGTTTTAGTGGATGTAAAAAGATATCAAACTAATAAAAAAGCGACCACGCAATTGGTGTATTTTTATTTTTAGTCTGATTGATATTTACTGATTTCTTTTTTTGTTTTAATGTTGATTGAAGATAAATAATTCATGAAGAAATCTAGTAGCTTATATTTTAGTACACTGAGAGAAAGAATTCATTTTGAAAAATATGGGCATTTTTGTCACAAGAAATGTTTTCTCTCAGTATATCGATGCTCTAATTAGCAAATTGTCTAACTCCATTTTAGAGAATCTTCCATTTGTACGAAAAAACAATTGATTCAAAATTTAATATCACTTTAAAAAACAATTTAATATCTAATAGAGGTATAATATTTTGGTTTGGATCATTCAAATAATTTATAATTGGACCATGCTGTATCAAAATGTTAAAAAATTACCCTCTAAAAAATAAGGAGCTAGACAAATTGCTAATTAGACCGTCGATATGTATTTTTGTTACACGGATAAATTTGCAAGGGAAAAAAATTTGAATACAATACAGAGTGTATACTGAGAAAATGATTACTTCTATAAAGAATTTATGTTCTTGACACAAGAACTTGTATTTTCAAAAATTGTCAAGAATGTACTTTTTTAGAAACTTGACATATTATGCTCGTTTCGCTCGTCTTCATTCATTCATTAAAAAATTCCGCTATTATTTTCGACCAATCATCATCGAATAAAATAGTCCTAGAAGAGTGACGTAAAACGATACGACATCCGGCCATCAACTTTTTAGAAGAGGATTTTCATAATTACTTCTTTACAATAAAATTAATTTTTTTTGTTAATCATCATTCTATTATTTTAAACTTATTTTATACTTTTTAGTTTGCTCTTTCTAAGACCAATTCATATATTCGAGGCTTCAAGATCGATAATATAGAAAACTGTTGACTTCTTTCTACCGGAATATTTCTGCTAAACCGCAATAAAATAGTAAACACAAGTGAAAAGTAACTATTGGAAAATAATCTCAGTAGTCAGTTGTGTAGTTTTATTATTTCTTTACACTACCTATATATATATAATTGTTTGAATTGATATTTCGCTTCACAAATAATAATGTCGAATGACTTGAGCAAAGATATCAAATATTTGATGATTAAAAAAGAAGAGGGTTATTCCTTTGCGGATAAGGAATCAATGAAATATCGTCATGGCTTAAAACTGCAAAAAGCACACAAGATGATGTTTCTATGGATTCATCACGCTTCTCAACCGGTGCAAAAATAAAAGATTCATGGTACATGCACCTTAAAATTAAAAAAGATAAGGATGGATCAAAAAATAAATCATGGGTCTCAATATATTTGTGTACTATAATCAAAGATCGAAAAGTCCGAACAAAGTTCAAATTCTTTTTTTTAAATAATGAAAGAAAAAAAATTATCAATGATTGTACAGTGAACAATAAATCAGACGTTTGGATGGATCACCTTTTTGATTATTCAACTTTTTCTGGTTGGGGTTTTCCCGAATTTGTGAAAATTGATACATTATTAGAGAAAGAGAACAGATTTCTTCAGTACGATACATTAATAGTTAGTGTAGATCTAACTGTCTATGATGATTATGTTGCTGTTAATAGCCCAAATTACTTATTGGAAGGTTCTGAGCGAAAATTGAGCGATGATTTTAAAAATCTTTTTGAAACTAAAAATAAATGTGATATTACTATCAAAGTCGGTGACAAAAAATTTGAGGCTCATAAGGTGATTTTGATTGCTCGCAGCAGCGTGTTCAATGCTATGTTCTCGCACGATATGAAAGAGAACAAAGAAAATGAAGTAACTATCCCAGATATAAATCCTGAAATTTTTAAAAAAGTTCTCGATTACATTTATATTGACAAAGCTGAGGATTTATTCAGTTTTACAGAAGAACTTCTGGAAGCGGCTGACAAGTATCAACTTTTGGGGCTCAAAGACTTGTGTGAGTGTTCTCTATCAAAAACTTTATCTCCTGGGAATGCTGTTAAAATTTTAATTTTGGCGGACCGTCATTTTGCGAAATGATTGCAAGAAGTCGCAATTGATTTTATTGCTAACAATTGGATCAAATTCAAGAACACTGAAGAGTTCGAACAATTGGAAAAGTCTCATTCAGCACTTGCTTACAGTGTAATCAGGAAAATTGTCTATAAAAATTGAGTTAAGTGATGGTATGTTGACTTTTATTTATTATTTAGTAATTAAAAAATCACATTCATTTTTTTACCCTTGTCTCCATTTTTTTAGGTATAAAAAATGACTTCAGAGAAGTTTTTTCGAAAAAACATGGATGAAGATTAGCTTCCTTTCGATTCTCTACATCAACTTGTTATCATCATATTATTATTACATATGAAGACAACGCTGTATTCAAAATTTACTGGTAGTTGAAACTTAATATTTTTCTGTATTTTTTAATTTTTATTCAGTTCTATCTTAGCATGATACGTCATATTAAGTATTTTTTAAGTAAATATTAAATGTAGGGTAAAGTTGTTCAACTAAATTTTATAAATTTGTAATTGTATTCATTTAAAAGAAAAAAAATTAAATATTCTTCCTAAAAAACTACTTATGCCTAAAAGTAATTATACATGTCAATAGTCAAGATTATGAAGTGAAAATAATTTGTATAGCTGGTAAGAATAGATACAATGTATTGTTAAACAATTTTTTACTAATATTCATGCATTGTTTTAGTTTAGAGTAGGTATCACGAGCGCTAAGAATTTTCTGGCTATGCAGCTGATTTATGGTAAATTGTTGGACATTATATTATTAGAAAAAATCAGTATTATTTTTTAAGTACTCAATTAATTTTTATACGGTTATGAAATAAGTAATTTATAAATTTTTTCATTATTATAGATTTATTTTGCAGTTATCATAAATGGATATATTTTCACACTGTAAATTTAAATTATTTTCTAAAGTTTATTTTTTTTGAAAAATTTTTTATTCTCATTTTTAAAGAAATAAAATGTTAACGAAAAATAAGAATCATCCCATAGTAAAATTGAGATGAAATGTATGTGAAACCAATTTATTCGTGATGTGATTGGTCGAAAATAAATATTCTCATTCTGATTGGTTGAAAGTGAATATACTATACATAAACGACACATAAATATATCATGTTAATAAATATGACGCGCGTGCTTGCGCGCGAAAATTAAATTCTAGTCCTATAATAAAATAGAGATGAAATGTATGTGGCATCAAACTATTCGTAACGTGATTGGTTGAATATATCATAAGCATGAAAATATATGCAAACTCTATAGTCAAAGCGCGCGCTTGCGCGCGTAAATTCAAATTCTAGTTAACAATGAAAAAAAGTAAGAGAATTATTAATTATTAAATTTTATTAACAATTTTCTATAAACTTTACATACATTATTCACATATAAGTATTAGAAATTAATACTTATTTAGACAATAAAATACATGAAAATTTGACAAAAACATAAATAAAAATGAGATCATAGATTTGATAATTAATATCTCACAGAAAAATTATATTAAAAAAATATAAATGTACATACTAAATAATAAATTATGGTAAGAATAGAAATTTGTTTAGGTAAAAATGAGATAAGGGTTCGTCTAATCAGAGTTAATGACTTCCAGCATCTCAGTTCTAAGTTACTTGACTGCCTCTTTTTTGTCGTAAAACAACTCTTTTGCTCGCGTTGTTGAGGTTTTGGTGATGCTGGGGTCTTTACGATGATTCTTTGATCTTCTGGAGCTGACGTTTTTGTTCATCTTTAGTATGCCAGGCTATATATTGTGTACCAGGATCTAAAATTGCGATGATTTGTTAATCTGAAACATAGAAAACTTTGGTAAATATATATTGATAGATCATTATACCCATACATTGATTTAATTAATAAAAAGTGTATCCGACAGCTTTGTCAATTTTTTTTCTTGGAATTAAAAGTAATAAAATTTATAACATAATTGCAAAATCCATCATGCCGATGTGACGATGGTCCAACAGAACAAAATATTTAACAGCATATGAAAATAAAATTAGCAAACATTTTGTGGGATTTTTTTTATTAATAAATTTTTATTATAAAAAAATAAAATTCCACATTTGGAAGATTCTAAAAACTATAGGTGCAATTTTTAAAAAAACTTTTCTGATTCTAATTTAATTGATGAAAAAAATAAAATTATTTTTAAATGCCGATTAATTTCTTCGTGATAAATTTCTCTTAAATAGTGGGAAACTTTTTAAATTTCGAGACTTATCTTACAATCAGAGCGTAAAAATCGATAATATAGAAAACTATTAACGCACTTTTTTCTCTTATGTTGGTACTTCGATAAGAGAAACGTTGAATTGATTCTTTTACTTACCACTAGTGGCGCTACTGAAAAACAAACCATCACCGTCAGTGGTAGTAGGAATCTGTGTATGTAAATGTAAGTCCCTGTGCATTACAACCACTAAGTAATCGCAAAAACTAAAAATTGTTTAATAATCTAAAATAACTTATGAAGAGTGTCGATTAAGTATAATAAAGTATAAATAAGAATAATTAAGTATAAATAAGAGAATAATAGGAGGCCGATATCATGGATTACCGTCAAGTGCCTCCGGTTATGGAGGATACTCCTCAGAAGCCAAAGCACGCGTCTCATTCATTCCCCCTTGGTGCAAATGCACCAGTAGATCATCATGTGGGTGATGAAAGTACTTCGTCAATCGACACAACAAATGTATCCATGGAGATACCGGATGAGAAATCAATTCCCGCGCATCATGTCTTGACGCCATTAAAGGAAAATGTCGCCATTTTGTGTGAGAATAGTCCGTCGATGGACTTGTTAATTCGTCGCATGAATCACCTGGGATTGAAGACTCCAGTTGACGCGATTAAATCCAGAAGATCTGGTCTTCTGTTCAACAGGACTATTGGGACTCAAGATGTCGTCCAGCAAGAATCCACTCATCAAACTCCCAGAAGGACTTTATTTGATGAATCAGTCTCTGAGGAAAAATCTCAGTCACCAATAGAAATTGAAAATGATTTGCTAAGTATTGTTCTTGAGCGAACTCATAGTCATTGCAAGCGATTATCTGATCAGTTTTCTTTTTCAGAATCATTTTTACCAACAGATTTAATTCCTTGGGATTCCTCGACAGGACATGAGACCAGTAAGATGATGCCTGAAGATCAGGATGTTAATAGTTTACGTGAGATTGATTCAAAAGCCGATGAAGAGGCGAAAAATTCTCAAGTTAAAATCAAAGTAGATAAATTTGATGTTGATGAAGGTAAAAATGTTGAAGAATGCAAGATGACAAGTACATCAGAAGAATCAGCGTCAGCTCAACTTCAGTGTCTTCAATTAGCAGAAAATCATCAGCTTAATGAAAGTTTCATGTATGTATCTCAAGTATTTTTGTGTTTACAGCTCTCAAACAAGCATGCTGCAAAAAAACAAGCAACTTGTGGTCAAGAATCTCAAGCTGAGAAAGTTGAGGATCCGTCCAAAGACAACATGGGAGAAGATATATTACAAAAAGCCATAGACGAGAAAATGGGGGCTTTGTTGAAGGAAGAACAACTGACCTTGGTTCGGAATAGCTTTTTGAAAAGTTTTCATAATGAGTGCGCTAAAATAACTGGTGCATGGGATGAAAAGTCTCAAAATTTATCATCTGAAGCTGAAAAAACAGTCAATGAGCCGGCTATGGATTCTGACGATAAAATAAAAGTCCAGAGTAACTTGGTGGAGCAAGATTCAGCTGCAAAGAAAGAAATAAAAGTTCAGGAGGACTTTAAAAACGAACATTCAACTTCCTTTTCTTTGATGAGCTTTGAAAGTCCTGGAACGTCGTCGAAAATAAGCTCTGGAGAGATCAAAGATTTACAATGCATGTCATCGAGGTCCAGTTCGGACGAATCGATGGCTTGCGATCACAAGTCTGATCATTCAGAAATCTCCAGTGTCTCAGTCAACTTGGAAGGTTCAAAGTCTTTGAAAAGCAAAGATTACTCGTCTACGTCATCTTTACAATCGAGCTATTCCAACGAATCAGTTGCTGGAACAGTTGCATCTGAAGCTCGAGACAATTCTAGTCTTCTGGTAAACATCGGAAGCCCAGCGCGGCCAAAAAGTTTGATTGATAGCAAAAATGCATCTTGTTTATCTCATTCGCAATTAAGTGACTCTAATTTAAGTAAATCTGTTTCTAATTTATTTAGTTCAAGCATTGACGCCATTTCAGGATCTAGCAAAGGTCCGGAGTTGTCAGAATTGGCTTCAGTAATGGAATCTGATCACAGCAGGCATTCAAGAACTTTTTTGAGCTACTTTGACGAGTCGTTTGCTCAATCTCATCATCCAGACACTCCAACCATTGAATTCAATCAATTTTCTCCATCGAAAATTTTTGAGCAGTTTCGTACCAAGTCTCGTAGCGTCTCACCTAACAGACGTTACAGCAATATTTTCACAACCGAAGGGCAAGATTATTCCATCATTGAGCCGAAAAATCTCAATACCCTGGAGGAAGAAAGCCCAAGTCAATGTTCAACAGAGCGACCTTTTACATACGATGATTACAAAAAAATAAATTATAATCCTGGAAGAGTGTTGAGTGTCGAAGATGACGAAGACAAGGACTCGTCTAGCATGATTGTTGAAGTAAATTCTAGCCCGACCAGCATCAATGATCCCACCGAAGATTTTAGTATGCTTCATCAAGTAGCTGAGTTGGAGGCCTATGAAGCTTCTATGACGGGAGTTGTTAAAACCGAGGGAGAGATGTATGACTCTGCAGAACTCTCGAGTAAAATGGCGGCTATTGTGGCAAAACATAGATTAGAAAAATCTACTAAGTCAGAGATTAAGGCCGTTTCTATTGAAAATAAAAAAGAAACTGTTGAAAGGTTTTTTGCTCAGTCAGTCGATATTCAAGGTCAATCAGAAGATATACTAAATACAACCATCGAGCTGAATGATTCCGTGGAATGCCTCAACGAAATAGCAGCTGCTGATGCCGAAATACTAACAGGCACAGAGAAATTTAATTCAACTATCCAGTTAGATGATACACAAGAAATCGAAGATTCTTTGATAGACACTTCTGCCATGCCCGCTTCCGGATCTGAGTCGATGAATAACACGACTTTCTACGATGCAGTAGAGTCGTTGAACTCTTCGTCAATGGAGGAAACACCTTGTGTATCTAAGTCAGTTGAAACTATCAAGTCTCCAATGACCCCCAAGTCCAAGAAAAAGTTCGAAAGTTTGTTCCGAAAAGTGATGGAAAAAACATCGTTCTTAAAGTCAAAGCCTATTGCGTCCTCAAGTAAAGTTGAAGATTTGAGCGGTAGTTCCATTGTAACCGAGGAAGAACATTCGAGAGAGAACAAGCGTGTAAGAGATGAGCGACAAGTTCCTGGTAAATATATTTTTATTGTTTAAAATTTTCGATTTAATTTAATGCTTATATTAATTTCTAGCTGGTACATTGGTTAAAAGTAGTTTTGTTGTGTTATTAGACGGTACTTAAGATCTTGTTACCTGTTCGTTCAATTCTTCGTATTATTTTGTAATTGCTTATTACTTTCCCCTCCACTTTCCTGGTAATTGCCAGGTAGAAAATACGCAGGGTTGATAGATAAAAGTTTCTTGGCTAGCAGAAATTAATTATCACTGCATCTAGGTCTATGACGAAGCAAATTTAAACATAAATTAACTCTTGGCAATAATACCTTTGTAAATAATGTTACCTGAAAGTTAAAAGTGTAAAATGATTTTTTATATAAGGGATAGATATTTATTAAATTTTAATTATTAAATTTTGTTTATAGATGTGCCATGTCCACCCTCTCATAGATTGACAGTAACGGAGATCTTCGATGCAGAGACAGGAATGCCTCGACCAGATGTCCTCAAGAAACACTTCATTCTGGAAGGTAGAATCGACGAAGCAGCAGCATTGCGCATCATCAATAATGGTGCTGCTCTTCTACGATCCGAGGAGAATATGATTAAAGTTGAGGCTCCAGTTACAAGTGAGTCATTTTTTCCATTTTATTTTTATTTTTAATAACTAACTTTTGAGAAAATTATAGCATGGTGTGAGAAAGAATCGGAATAAAAACCTTTCTAATAATTTTTAATTTTAATGAATATGAATTTTAATAATTCTTTTGTTGTTCAATTGCAGTGTGTGGTGATATTCATGGACAATTCTATGATCTCATGAGATTATTCGAGGTTGGAGGTGACCCCTCAACTATAAACTACCTCTTTCTAGGTGACTACGTAGATAGAGGGTACTTTGGTATCGAGGTGAGTTTATTAATATCCTTAATTAATTTTCATAGCAATGTAATAAAAGCAACAATGTCTGATAATAAATGTAGATATAAAAATTTGTTATCTACATGTATAGTTTGCTTTTGTTTACTTTTTTCCATTTAAACTTTCTATGTTTCAATACTTGTATGGGTTACGTGCGTTAATATCCCCGGACAAAATTCTTAAAAATATAAAAATTCATCAATAATAATTTGAAAATTAATCTCAACATTATTTTTTTAGTGTGTTTGTGGGTTTATTCAAAATTAAACCAACAAAAAACGCGGGGATATTTTGCCGGGGATATTAACGCGCGTCACCACTTGTATGCCTTTTTGTGAAAAAATTTTCCTTCTATCATCAGCTCAGGCTACTACTAAAATTATAAGATAAAGTACTTTCAATGTTAAAAAAAAATCATTTTTTCAATATAAATCTGCGATCCAAAATCCATCATCAATATAAACTGATTTTTCTCTTCATTGTGTGTTGCTTCAAAATTTTTTACGCTTCGTCAAAGTAGGGATCATAACTTAAAAAAAATGTTTTAAAAAAATCGTGTCTCAATATCATATTCCATTATATTAATTTTTATTTAATTAAATTGTTTTATTTCAGTGCGTATTGTATCTGTGGGCACTGAAGTTGTGCTATCCAACCAAACTGTTCCTACTCAGAGGCAATCATGAGTGCCGACATCTCACTGAATATTTCACATTCAAACAAGAATGTAAGTTTGCATGTTTTAATATTGGTAATGTTCTGAATAAGTTGAAATATTCAAGCTTTTTTATTATACCTGGTTTTATTCTAATTACCAGTAGAGGCTTATCTGATTTATGTCGAGAATTTTACATCTATGAAGTTAAATGAAAGTAACTATTCTCAAATGTAATTCTGATTTGCTACAAAATTTTTCCGAAGCCTCTGGTAATTTTTTTTTGTTTAATAAAACTTTTAGTTTTGCATAAACGGGGGTACAATTATTGACTTCCTATTTTTTTTATAATATATATATGATTATTTAGTTTTTTAACAGTTTTTTAAAACGGTGATCGTTAATAATTTTTCTACTCTAATCACTCTACTCACATCAACAGTATTACTTATTAATGTATACTTCTATTGAAATCATTTTCATTCTATGTTTGCAAGTTAATTCAAAATAAAATTTTTTATTAAACTTAAATTTCCCTTCTGTACAACTCGTGAATATGAGCCTATGAGACTATGAGCTAGCTTAAATAATCAGATTCAAACATAATTTTTTATTAATCTAAAATTTAATCATTTTTTTATTTTTTTAATGATCATCCATCCTTCCGCTCTGTTAGTTATTCATATGTTAGAAATTTTGCAACAAACTAACATATTTTATTGTTTCAGGCAATGTAAAATACTCGGAGCAGGTATACAATGCGTGTATGGACGCATTTGATTGTTTACCACTAGCAGCCCTGGTAAATAAACAGTTCCTGTGTGTTCATGGCGGCCTATCACCACAAATCCAGGTCTTACAAGACATCCAAAAGGTAACGCTTTAACATACACATTAATATACCAAAAAATTAATTGAATTCCATTCTGCTTACTAAGCATTTTTAACTTTTTTCAATACTTAACGTTTGCTGTAAAAGTAAAAAGTTTATATTTTAATCAGTTGTAAAAAAAAATCAACTCTACGACTAGAACGATAGATAGTGACAAAGAAATCATTTTTACGAATTTTATTATATTACCTAAATTAATTACGGTTCTGGATTTAAACGATTTTTTATATCTTTATTGTCAATTTTTTTCATAAGATTTATTTTATTAAAATTTTTTTTTAATTCTCTCAATCGAACAACAAAATTTGAGTGATAATAAAATTCAAACAATTGATTTGAAATATATAAAATAAAATTAGTATCAAGCAATTACTTTATCTAAAATAATATTGTTCAATTCATGAGTGACAAATTTATATAGATCTTATTTGAAAAGAAATACTAATTGACTTGGCTCGAGAAGGAGTATGTGAAGAAATATTAATGTGCATAGATAGGTAGATAGATAACCAGGTTTTATTTGATCCTGGAGCTTTAGCTCCCTCAAGACCATTAAAACACATTTTTTTCAGTGATTCGGACGTATGCATAATTTTAAATACTTAAAATAATTTTGCATACTGTAAATCAAAAAAGAAAAGTAATGATAAACGATGAATGTCACAGTATCGATATGATATATAAATATATTTATAAATAAAATAAAGATGTAGCAGTTTAGAGCATAAGAGAGAATTTTTCATAGTATAATATAATGTATTGATTCATGATAGATCGCTGATTATTGCAATCCTCAGCTCCATTTTATTCTGATTGAACTCTGAATTTGCTCAATGACACACTACACTGAAAGAATTAAACCAAATATAACACTTTCTTCGTAACTCATTTATAATTTATTGTTCATAATTTACAATGCAATACTGTATTTTTAGCAACATTTAATTTCATTTGTTTTTTAACTTTGTTACACGCTCAATAAAAGAATCGTTTAATTGCTTGATTTATTTTTAAAAGCTAAAACAATTTCGGTGCAATACAAATAAAAAGATAGTGTTGCAAATAAAAATTTAAAAAATATATAACCGAAGAATAAATAATGATAGGGCAAACAAAACATTCAATTAATTAAAGAAATAAAAAATTGATGCATGTTTGTTGAATAATTTTTTGTGCGATGTGAAAATTTAGTTTCCTGTCTAACTTACATCATTTACGCATGGGATTTCTAATAAATTCAAAGATAACTCCGCACTACGACAATGCTTCATTTTCAATCATCCTTTTGCTCGAGATTACATTTTAGTTAATATTAGATCCGTAAAGTTACACTGAAATATTGTGCCTACTCTGTAATATCAATCAGTCTTATGTGTTTGACATATGTTATTCATTGTGTAAAAATTATTAATAATTATTTGTAATATTTATGGCTTATGCTAATTTTATTTTTTTCTTTTTGCAGTTGGACAGGTTCAGAGAGCCACCAGCTTATGGTGCGATGTGTGACTTACTTTGGTCAGATCCACTCGAAAACTTTGGGAATGAAAAGCATTCGGAACACTTTATACATAATAGCGTTCGGGGTTGTTCGTTTTTCTACAGGTAATTTTACTATCTAATAAATATTAAAACAATCAATTTTTTTTTTTTATTAAAAAAAATGATTTTCCTTCTATTTTTTTCCACTTTATAGAAAAAGTTATTTTCTTTGGAAATAAAAATAAATATTCAATTTAGAAATGAAGTAACAAAAAATTCAATGGGAATATTAAATATTAGAAAATATATTATTAAACAGTTTTTCAGTTGATTTCATAGAAATTTAACTATTGCATATGTCCTCATGGCGTAACTTCTGAAAAATTTTGTTATTTTCTGACTCAGTTCGTCAATCTGTTTCAGAAAATACCATTAGTTCAAAAGTTTATATATGTATGTATTTATACATATAAATATATATACGATATAACGCGGCTTATCCGGACGATAGCGTCTCTAATTCATAATGGATCTTCTTCAAACTCAACATACTTAATTTTTAGAGGAATACCAAGGCCAAGTTCAAAGATGAGCTTAATCGGTCGAGTAGTTCAGAAATTACAGGGTTTCAAAATTTTCAAAATCATAAAAATTCATTTTTTGGCTGATTCTTTCGTGCATAACGTTTCAATGAAATAACATGGAATTTTTGTAAATTAAATTTCAAAGCCCATTAAATGGGCTTCAATTTTCATATCATTTTATTCTCCTAAACTTAAAATAACCTATTCGTCTGTAGGTTTTCAATGAAATACTCTTGCAGTCGTTTTTTGATTAATTTGTCCAACATGTCTCATAAAAATCAATTTATATTTTTATCATTATTCTCAATTGATTTTTTTTTTATATACAATCCTAGTAGTTTTTTTTTTTTATTCATTATAAAATCTACTTCCATTTCGGCTGCCGGATGGCCTTTTTTGTCATTTGCAATAGTGAAAGAAAATTTAAATATTGAATGTTTTTCATGAAAGTTAGATAATTATTTATATTTTTTTTTTTTTAATCAGAATAATAATTGTTTAGTTACAAGTTGTGAAAATTGTTTTTTTTACATGAAAATTCTGAAATTTGTCATCGTTTGTAATTAATAACTTAACATCACTGTAATTCATGAAAGAAGAAATACTTGAATTTTTAATTGTTCCTGACCCTGTAATTTTAATATTTTAGAAAGTAATATAATGCATGAAATCATATTTTTATCATTAAGTTTCCATCGTTATAAATTGACAATGTAAAAAAAAAAGATGAAATAAGTAAAGTTTAAGTTAATAGTATCATTCTGATACAATAAAATTAATGTTACTATTGTCAACAGCTATGAGGCGTGTTGTGATTTTCTGGAAACCAACCGTCTTTTGAGTGTTATAAGGGCGCACGAAGCACAGGACTCTGGTTATCGTATGTATCGTAAAAGCCAGAAGACAGGCTTCCCATCGCTCATAACTATCTTTAGTGCACCCAACTACCTTGATGTCTACAAGAATAAGGTCACTTTTTTTTTTTATTTATTCCTCATTTCGTTTTATTATAATTGTAATGATACTCATTAATCACTTTATATTGCCATCTATTTCTGATTTTTTATTATTAACTTTAACTGTGTTGAATAAAAATCCATTTAGTCTGAAGTTTAACGTAAAAAATTAATTTTTTTTCATTTATTCGTGAATGTAATTTGATTTTATATATTCAAGAATAATTAATTAATCAGAAAATGTTAATGTTTGCTTCTATCTTAGAGATATTTAAATTAATTAACTAATAAGGTACTAGCTTCTATTTATTCATCGTACAACCAACTTCAAAATTATCATATATATTTTACTATGAAATAAAATCTTTAAATTTTGAGATGAACAATTTATAAATAAAAAGTCGGAATAACAAATTCATAAATAGCTTTTGTATATTTTTTTTCACAAATTTTCTAGTTTTTTTACAATTAACAATAATCATAAATTTGCTATTTTTAAAGAATAATAAGTCAGATTACAATCATTAGGAATCATTGTAAGTGATTAATGATAACAAAAAAAAGAGACCATTTCAATTAGGTAAAAAACTATAAAACGAAATGTATATAAGTAAAAAATTGCATTACTAAATAACTTTTAATTTTCAGGGGGCCGTGCTCAAGTACCAGGACGGCGTACTGAATGTTAGACAATTCAATTGGTCACCACATCCATACTGGCTGCCAAATTTTATGGATGTGTTTACCTGGTCCCTGCCATTTGTTGGTGAAAAAGGTAATATGACCTTTCAATAGCTATTTAGAAAATATAATCTCTGCAGATATATCACCGCTGTGTAATATATCGACACTGCCATTCTAATACGTCGTATCCCATAAAATTTGACAAAGTGACTTATTTTGAAAAAAAGAATCATAACAATATCATGCAAGTCGTAGTAAAAATTTAAAAGTCAATTAGTTTAATAACTATTTTTAAATAAACATTTTTATTCGTCGAATTGTATTTAATCAATGTTAAAAATAAATCGTTCTTACCTTTGCTGTACAATTTTCTAAATATGGGATACGACTTAGTAGGATAGCTGTATCGACGTGTAATTTATGGTTTCTTACTTCAAGACTAAAAAATAAAAATCCCAGGAGTAGTTTAATATAATTCCAGTTGTGAAAAGTGGTCATTAAATTTAAAAAAATATATATTACTATTGGTTCTATAGATGTACTCAACTTTTTTTTTTTATTCTATAAATTCAACTTCAGACTATTCCGTAAATCTAGAAATAGAGCAAGCGAACTATTATCACGTGCCAAAAGGTAAAAGGACGCATAATTTTTTTTTTATCACCAATCGACTAGTTGACATATTCTTCGCCTAAAAATGAAGCATTAATTTCTTAAAACTAAAAGGGCGCATGTCTCTAATTACGCGCTCTTTTAGCTTGAGGAATTCAAAAATTTTATGACCTAAAGCTAAAAGCAAATTTCGAAAAAAGTCCTCTGCTACGAAATAGATAGTTAAAAAATCTATTATGTAGCAAAGCGTCTTTTTAAAAATTCTTCTTTGTCTAGGAAAGAAATATAAAGCTGCAATCGTAGAGACCGGCTGTTAAAAAATTTTTTTTTATTTATTAAATTTTTTTATTTCATGTCTTGTGAATCTATTTATCCAAATTTTTTATAAAAACTGGAATTTTTTTTATGCGCCCTTTTAGCTTTAGGCACTAATTTTCTAAAAGCATGTCTTGAGTTACGCCCTTTTAGCTTTAAGATGCTCGAATTTTTTGTTTTACAGATCTTTGTGTTTTGAGTAATTTTAAACAAAATGACAAAAAAAATTTTTTTATGCGCCCTTTTACCATAAATACCTACTAACCTGTAGTTATACCCCCTTTTTAGTAGATTTCATAAAAATCTAACTATTGCAGCCGTCCTCATGGCGCAACTTTTAAAAAATTTAGTCATTTTCTGACTTAGTTTATCGAGCTGAGTCAGAAAATGTATATAGTTCAAAAGTTTATATATGTATGTATTTATATATATATATATATATATATATATATATATATATATATATATATATATATATATA